CTCCTCCTCCTCCTCCTCCTCCTCTTCTTCTTCTTCTTCTTCTTCTTCTTCCTCCTATCCACATGAAAAGGATAATATCCTAGTCCTCTGCCACAAATGTATTCTCCTCTGACATGGACGTCAGACACTACCCGCCTCGGCATAAGGAAAAGAGGCTCTGGTCAGGTAATTTCATCAATTCCCGTTATGATACCTAGGTACCTACCTAGTGGGTATGATACGATACGATAGCGGGCTATACAAGTACAAGTCCATGCCATGTAATGCCTGCCATGCCACCAACCGATTACCTCAGGTACACCCATCCCCACATATCTCGGTTTCCGTGCTAAAACCTTGCCTCATCCAGCACTGCTCGAGGGGACATAACCATGACGCCGCACAATACACGTTTCTGCCCATTCTCCCTATCGGTGGGCGGGGGGTATAGACATCCCTATCGAAGGGAAACATCCACAACGACAATAACGATTTTCTTTTCAATTCCTCATGAGATAGTTGCACTGATAGCCTTCAGCAAGATCCAATTCATTTCATCCTTGTAATAGCTTTCGATAGTGTCGCGTTTCTGGCCTGATACACTGTTCTCAATAACTCCGCTGGAATACATCGACATCGACATCGACATCGACATCGAGAATCGACGGACTTTTGCAGCTGCAATCCCAAACTCATGCAATGGCTACTGAGACAGTCTCCGCCCAGTTCGACTCTAGACTCCAGAGTCTAGGACGTCGCTCGCCGCCTCCAGCCCGGAAAGGCCGGTAACTTCGCGGACGCCAGTGTCGCCATCCCGACCACGGTGGACCTGGGTGTCAAACACGCCAGCACAAAGGCGTTTGTGACGCAGCCATAAGCGAGCAGCCGCACGGTCATGTTGGGGAGGAACGAGGCCAGGAAATGGCTCGATAGGACGATCGTGGCGCATTGCCACATCGGCGACGGGCTGGTCATCGCCGCGGATACGTCCGTGGTAGACGGTGAAGCCTTGTGAGCGGTCAAGGTGGTGAGGGGTGGATCTTGTACTTTGGGCGTGGTTGACTCGAGCTCTTGATCTTGCTCTTGATTTTCTGCTGCTGCTGCTGCTGCTGCTGGTGGCTCAGATTCCGACGTGGGACTCGGTTGACCCTCCCGTGACGACGGACGCTTGCACTCCTCAATCTCCGTCTTCAACGCCTGCATCTGCGTCTGCAGCTGCCTGATCTCTTCCATAGCCAGATTAAACCGCTTCTGCCACACCAGGTCTTGGTTCTGCAGATATGCCGGCGGCGGCGTGACCGGGCTGCGTGACACGCCCAAGCGTTTGCGAGCCACGATCGACGAATTGGGAGCGCTGATGTTGCTCCGCGCTGGCGGCACGGTCGGGTAGTTGACCTTGGGGAAGGTGTTCTCGGACACCATGGGCGAGCCCCAGGACGCGGTCGACGACGAGACGCCCGAGAAGCCCTCGTCCTCGAAGCGCCAGGGGATGTTCTCAAAGGTCGTCTTCAGGGACGAAATGAGGAGCTCGTCCTTCATGATCCCCGGACCGGTGTCCAGCCGCAGTCTTCCTGGTCCAGTGCTGTAATCCGGCTGGCAAACGGCGACTGGAGTCCCCTTTGCAGGCTGCTGCAGGCGTCCGAGCGCCTCTTTGATCGCCGGCAGGACATGAGACAGACCCCAATCGCCGATAGCCTGGGTCCAGACCAGGAACTTGCTAAAGTGCACGTCCTTGCTCAGGTCGAACTGGCAGAGCGGGGCCATACAGTAAGCCTGTCCCTGTTCCAGATCGATCCAGTGCAGATTCAGCAGCGCAAAACTATTGTCGATGGTGCACGAGAAAGAGACCGGCAGTTCACCGAGATTCATGGGTGAATTTTCGCTCGAGTCCTTGCGCGCCCGCGTGTACAACATCTGCAATGCGCGCGTGCTGTATGCGCCTGCAATCGCACACTGATTGTTTGCCGACTCCACGCGCTGCTGCTTGTTCCCATAGGCCCGTTCAAAGGTCAGAAAGGGACAGTACAGCGACGCCCCAGGCGCGATGTACCCCGTCTCGAAATGGACTATTGTGCCCGTTGCCTGGAGCCACTGAGGCAGGACGGCCAACTCTTCATCCGTGAAGGCTGCGGCGGAAAACCCGCACCCCAGACCTGGACGGGGAACCGACAGTTCGTAAAACGGTGCCGGGTGATTTATCGTTCGTTCCGGCAGAGCTTCGCGGCTGCCGAAGAAGGGGACCATGCATCTCGAATGAAAGTCGCTCGTCAACGGAGGGAGGAGGTTTGGAGGGAATATCGGCGACGGTCCGAATCCTCGTCCCGCGGTGACCTGGTTCCAGAAGCAGTTCTTCTGGTTGTCGAACCGGCCTGCATCCTGGCTGGCAGCTTCGACGATCTTGAGGAAAGCAGCCGGGATGCGGTCCTTCGGCACAGTGTCGAGCACATGGATTTGGTGTGGTGCTAGGACCTCTTGGCGGAAAGTGCGCCACGGCAGATGGCTGCCGTCATAGGACGCTGGTGGGAGACCTCCTGGAGAGGGCGAGGAGTTTGATGAGCCGCTTGTAGAGGACATTGTTCGTCTCCACTAACTTGTCACGGTCGTAAGTCAGGCTTTTCTGGTTTATCAAGCAAGTGCCGTTTCAACGGCAGCTCACTGCTCCTTCAGTTCAAAATGGGAATGAACAAGACGGCTATTGGGTATGATGCATTGGAAGTAGTGTAACAGCAGAACGACTATTACTTGGACATGGGAAACTTGCGCGTTGAACACCGAAAATGAAAATATAGCGAGGAAAATGCCAGAGCACAAGGTGCGCGCACGACTTGAAGCTCCGGACTCACCACACAGGAGGGAAACATAAGTTATAATACAAGAGAGCACAGGGAGCTAATGCGTTGCACGACTGAACGGTGGCTGGAACTCCTACATATTCGTACCGTCCCAAGAGGCCCCCTGGCGTCCGTTGTCCTAGACGGAACAGGGAAGATCAGATGCCCTCGTTGGCTTCGCTTTATGACTATGGCCCGCGTCGCTTGGCCAAAAGATGTTTAGCACTCGGTTTCCGTGGCCCAGGGCGGCTCTGGTAGAGAGGAGACTCGACCGTCGGGTCGCAGGTGGAAGGGCTGTCACAAGGAGCACCTGCAGCTAGCATTGGGTCTGGGGAAGGTCCGCGTTTCAGGTGATTGGAAGAGGAATAGACGTGGGAGAGGGGAGTCCGCTTTGTTGTCGACCCCTGTGTGTGGAAACAGAACCTGGAGTAAAGCTGGTTGATGGTGGTGGTTTCGGCGCTTCGAGGCAAGTGATAAAGATATCGTGGTAGAGGAAGTGGATATGAGGGGAAACAGTGATGAAGGTATTAGTGGTTGAAATACTCACGCTTGATATTAATCAGGTCTAGTCCATATCCACAGCGCTAAGGCAGCCAATCAATGTACTCAAACCCCACCCCTCGGCTGGCTATTTACATCGCTACCCAGTGTGCGAGTACAGGTCTCTGCAGCCTCTCGACGATCACACCGCCTTCTCAGCCGAAAGGCTCATGAGCTTGAGTAACTCAGAATGTCAAGAAGCCATCGTGCGACACCGAGCACTTTGTCACAGGGCGAATATTCCCAGGGGCACCAGCTTCTTAGAACATAGAGACGGAATCCGATAGCTGTGATGGTGGTGTCAAGACACGACAAGACGTGGTGTCTTCCCCTGTGCTTGTATCATTATATTCATTCATTAAGTATCATATCATACTCTTTTCTCAATTCGCTGTTGTAAACAATCCCCGTACACTCGTTCCCGAGACCTACCCTTACGCCCGTATCCATTTCGGACTGATCTCTGCAAGTACACTTTTGACCATCTCGAACTTGCTCTTTGCAGGGCTCACGTGGCCTGGAGTGCTGGTAACGGTATCCATTGACTCGTGTGGGAAGCTGTCCGACAGATACTCTCTTCCTGGTTCTAGCCGGACGAGTGCATCGAGGGCTTCGAGGAGAGTGAAGATCTGCTGGAGATGACAGTTCTCCGCCCACACAAACAGGCTGACTAGCCGTGATAGCAGGCATTCCACATCTCGCTCATTGCAAAGATCGTAATTTCGGATCGGACTCGCTGTATGGCAAAGTCCTCCCTCGGAGCTGTGGAGGTTCAGTGTTGCCATCTTGCCGCCTTCCCCTGAACTGTTGTGTATCGAGAGAGAAAATGAACAGACAGCCCGTCTTGATTGCCAAAACAAGTTTCTTCCCCGGCTTTGAAGCAGAGGCTCATCTGCGGCTTCTGCGAGAAGTGCGAGTGCGTGGTTGCAGGTTGACCCAGAACCTGCTGCTGCGTTCTGAGCGGCCGTCAAGGATTCTCGTTGTATTTCGACGTTGAAAAACGGCCAGAACAATGTATCCCTCCCACGGATGGGTCGAGAGATTTTGGCTAGATTACAAGGCTCGCCGTGGGAGTCCGAGATGATACCGTCCTGCAATTCGAGCTCGCGCATGGTGAAGCTCTTGGGGCTGAAACCAACGGTGATATTAGGCTTTGGGGTAGGGAGTGGCATGCTCCAGTGATGTGTTTGACTGGGTGAGATGGATCCAGCTGGACTTCCCTTGGGCATAGCGTCCGGGTGGAATGTCGCATCAGTCTCGACGTGTAATCCCCGTGACGACTTCATTGCTGTCTGAATGAGCGGGAGCAACAACTCTGTCAATCGCCTATCGCTTAACCTAGGCTTCCTTTGCATCTTCTGGGCGAATTTCCGGGCGTCTGGATGGGGTCGGTGAATGTCGTTGAAGGGAACACCCATGCTAAAGGCGTGTCTGCTCCAGCGTTCGTCGGAAAGTTGATTCTCTTCGACATTTATGTTGTTAGGCACCAAGGTGTGTTGCCGATAATACAAGGAGGCAAAGGAGTGCGTATGTTCAGAGCTTTGGATGTCCTTGATCGGCAAGTACTGACTGCTGATAGAGGATGGAGTGCTTGCCTGACTGGCCATTGTGATTGTCTCGACCTGTATAAAAGTGTGATCCGCTGGGTAGTTTCGACCATAAACCACCTGTTTCGTGGTGCTTTTGAGGGAGCACGAATGCTGGAGATTCTCTCTATATACCTTTGCCTTCGACCTGTGTCTTTGAATGCTCCCACTCCGCATGCAGGGATGAGTTGGTAAAACAGCCAGTGGTGCTATTCATGGCATGTTTAATATCTGCCTGCTGCCATGATTGGTTCTTTGGAGAGTCCCTAGCGACAGGCGATCAGATCTACATCTTTTCGGTAACGGCTGAATCTCCGGGTTCTTCAAAGCGATCAGCCTATATGGGCGCTTAGGTTGACATTGGCTCTTTTCTCATGTGTTGCTCCAACGTGGAAATAACAGACCAATCAAGAGTGCGCGCTCGTGTTGGTATTTTTGAAGCTAAAAAGCGCCACGAGGTCAAGAATAGAAGCTCGTGATTTGGGCGGTACGAATTCAGCGGGATAGATCCAGTACGTTGCCAGGGTACCATGAAGTCGCTGGTGCGTCCAATCCGCAACTCCTGGCGCCTACACGACGCAAATAGTCCATCGAAGTGGCACATCAGACCACCATATCTGAGCCGTCATCGACGGACTTTACAGCAAGGACATTGTTCCAACGAGAGTTTGTAATACGCAAAGTAAGGCTTGGGGACGAAAGGCAACTTGATATGTCTTCGGGCAATCATGTCCTCGTGTATGCGACATCAACATCCCGACACCAAGGATGACCCAGCCTCTAATCAGTGATCCTAGCGCACCGACTTGAGCAAAAACTCCGTTGCTCGCTGGTTCTCGGTGTGAGAAGTACTCTCTGCCACGGCCTTCCATGTTTCGTGCTCCTTCATAATACCTTCCAGCTCAGCTTTGACGACGGCCCACGAATCGGCACCCAGGGCGAGTCTCATCGGTGGGGCAATGTCATTCCTTTTGCATGCAAGGTCGTGCAAGACTCGAGCACAGACTGCAGCATCGTTCCATTGCACAGCGTTTGATGCGGTGGTGAGGTAGGCTCTGACGGCATTATATCCACAAGCTGGGTCTTCATAAGCTGGATGCCGTGGAGGCAAGACCATATTCTGTGGAAAGTTGGTTGCCACAGCACCCAGCTCGATGATAGTGAATTTGATGTTCCAATTCGGGTGCATTTCTTTTGCAAGTGCATCTGTGAACCCCTCCAAAGCGAATTTGCTGGCATGGTAGTACGCCGAACCGGCGTAACAAACCCTGCCGCCCACAGATGAGATCTGGATAAACAGGCCACCCTTTCCAGGCGGATTGACTTCTCGTAGGATGGGAAGAGCCGCTTTGGTCACATTGACGGCACCCCAAAAGTTGGTCTCGAATTGTGCCCGTGCATCGGCGTCGGGGAGAACTTCAGTGTCACCAGTCACGCCATATCCTGCATTGTTGACCACAACATCTAGACCGCCAAATCTGTCAACGGTGGCCTGGACAACCTGCGCTACCTGCTCTTTGGAAGTAACATCAAGGCATAACTTGAGGACATTCGGAGTGTCGGGAAGATATGAGAGGGTTTCGGGCTTCCGAGCAGTGGCGACAACAAGGGAGCCTGCTTTGTAGGTGTACTCCGCAAGAGCTTTGCCCAATCCAGAAGAGCAACCGGTGACTGCCAATTTTAGTTTCCTCGCACTCAAGAGTGATAGACATGCCTACTCAACCAGACATCCTTCTCTGCTATGGCCATGGTCTCTCATCAGGGTAGCAAGCTGGGCAGTAGAAAGGCAATTGTATCAGCCGCCATTTCCTCCCAGCTGTCCAATTCATCCATCTTCTCCAGCTTGGCGCAAACATATTGTTAAATGACTCCATCTCCCGGGGTTGTACAGGATCGGGGTCATGGCCAATAAAGAGTTGCAGACCGATAAGGCTATACTGCAGCGTAGGAAGACACACCAGTCAGTGTCGAGGATCAGAGAATGTGACGTGGCAAGTGCAGACTATATGTCGTAATTGTAGCTTTGATGGGGTAGATTTCGCCAAAGTCTTCCCTGGCAGCTGTGTGTGGGGAGACTTGGGGACCAGGAGAATAGACGAGATTGACCTCCAAGCTCTGCAGGAAGCCTGATCCCGGCGATCTCAGTCTTCGTCAGAATCATAACCACCCAAGCCGAGAGTAGGTGGTTGTACAGGAACTGGTGCAGGGGGTTGTTTTGATGCTGTCATAGGCTCGGCCTTGCGCACCAGTCCGGGCACCAGAGGTTTCTTGATCTTTTTAACCCTCTCGAATGACGGAGGCGGCTGCGCAGGTCGATGTGGTTCGTCGGATTCCCCATGTGCAACGTGATTACTTTGGCCATTTGCCTTTTGTTGTTCCTCGAGCCTCGTCCTTTCGACGTTGGCAGCTTCAAATGCCTTGCGGGCAGCTTCGGCATCCTCCCGTTCTTGTCGCTCTCTCTCCTCTCTCTGAAGATCTCTCACTTGATTCAGGGCCTCGTCCTCTTTGCCACCCTTTTCGCCGCGCTCTATCCGTGCATTTCGCTGCATGATCTCATCGAGGGCGTCTGCGACCTGCATCTCCCTCTTGCTCTCCTCCATCTTCTGCTCCAGCTCCTCCATGGCGTTTCGTTCCGCATTTTCCTCCTCCTCGGCTTCCTCTCTCTCTAGTCTATCCAAACGCTCCTCATCAGTCTCTTTCAGTTCTGGATTTTCGGGATTTCGCCATGACTCAAAGTTTCTTTTTGCCCCTCGTTCACAGGTATAGTCCATGTTCTTCGGGTCAGTCTTGAAAGTGATCTCGGAAGAACACCGGGTGCAGCGGATGTAGAAGCGGTAGATGGAGATAGTCAGGTATTTCTCGTCGGTTGTCTCCTTCCGGGCGTTGAATTTACGACCTTTGTATATGTATTCGCCGCAGGATGTGCATTTCATACTGAAGGGAGCCATGAGGCGGACGGGGATTGTCTTGGGCCCAGTCGGTCGGAGGTGTTTAGGAGTGCGGGCGATCTTGGAGGGATCGAACTCTGGAGGGTAGTACTTGGTGAGAACCTTTCGTTCCGACATGTTGACGACTTGTTGGAGAGGATGTGAGGTGCCTGGGAGGATTGAAAGTGGGTGAGAGAATATAATAAATCAGACGCCACAGGCGGCAGCTGGAGGGAGCGCGGGCGACCCGTAAAACCAGCCAATCGGAGTTTGACTTGTTCGGCGCCCCACGTTTCGCACTCGCCCTTTGAAAGGATGGCGATTGTTTGTGCCGCAGTCGACGCAGTTACGCTTCACGAGGTGCAATATCCTCAGGGCAGAATGATATTTTGGAAAGAACATTCCCGAGCAAGTGCTCTTACTGGATGACTTGGTTCTCATTCTTATCTCTTCACTCTTCAGTCCCTACCCCCATTAATACTGATGCATCTTCACATATCCTTCACACCAACTATTCACCACAACAATGGACAAATACCTCCGAACGTGGCGGCAAGACGCTCTCAACAAGGGTCAGCATGATGCGGCTATCTATATTGGAGACAAGGTTCTTGCCCTGACCAGTATGTGAGTACAGTCACTAGACCGGAGACCAGACCTAACGTGTCCAGACAATGATGCCGACGCCTTCTGGCTAGCTCAAGTCCACTTCGGCCACAATAACTTCACCCGGGCATTGGCTCTGCTTCTTCGAAAGGATCTGATCAATCGAAGTCTCTCCTGTCGATACCTGGCCGCTCATTGCTACGTCAAGCAAGGCAGATATGACCAAGCACTGGGCATACTCGGCGAGGAAAATCCAACTCACTTGATCACTACTTCCCACAATGCTAGAAGAAAATTGGCACACATCAATGGCCATTCCCAAAGGAATATCACTCAAAGAGGAGCGAGAGCCCAGCGGGACAGGATCGAGTTCAGCGAAGAAAGAGAACGTGACAGAGAATCAGAGAAAGAACTGAAATTCCAGGCGGGCATGTGCTATCTTCGTGGCTTGTGTTTCGCAAAACGCAATGCCTTTGACCGGGCACGAGACTGCTACAAGGATGCCGTTCGAATAGATGTGCAGTGTTTTGAAGCCTTTGATCAGCTGATGAAGAACTCTCTCATGTCCCCTGCCGAGGAGTTGGCCTTCCTCGAAGAACTCGATTTCGACTCGATACGCATCGAAGATCAGTCCTTGGCTCAGGAAGCCGCTCACTTTACAAAGCTTTTGTACACGACGCGGTTGTCCAAGTACTCGGCCCCCGAGACCCTTGCCAACGCCACCGAGACTCTCTCAACCCACTACAACCTGGCGTCCAATCCAGACTTGCTTCTGACTCGAGCAGAGACACTTTACACCCAATGCCGTTTTCACGACGCGCTTGCAATCACAACGAGTATCCTCAACTCGCAAAACAGCTCTGATGCCTTGGGTGACGCAACCTCGAGCAACACCAATGCTTCGCTTGGGCACAGTCCACGTCTGTATCCCTTACACCTCGCTGTTTTGTACGAGACAGGATCTCACAATACTCTTTTCCATCTTTCACACACCTTGGCAACTCACGCTCCTCACGAGTCATACACCTACCTGGCCATAGGCACGTATTACTTATCAACATACCGTATTCCTGAGGCCCGCCGATTCTTTTCAAAGGCATCCCTTATGGACCCGCACTCCGCTGCTGCATGGATAGGATTCGCCCATACGTTTGCGGCCGAGGGCGAGCACGATCAGGCCATTGCAGCCTACTCGACGGCAGCAAGGTTATTTCAGGGGAGCCACCTGCCCCAGCTGTTCCTAGGCATGCAGCATTTGGCTCTAAACAATATGCAGCTGGCTTGGGAATACTGCCTTGCGGCATTCCAGATGAGCAGCGGCACCCCTAAATCAGGCTCGGAGGACGATTTGGCCAACCGGATATTCAATAATACTGCCAGTCTGGGTGGCGACCCCCTAGTGCTCAATGAGATCGGCGTCATATTGTACCACCAGTCCAACCTCCCTGCTGCTGCAAAACTTTTTCACAAATCCCTTGAACTGGCCTCGGATCTGGGATGCAACATGACTGCATGGGTTGCCACAAGGGCAAATCTAGCACACTCATTGAGGCGAATGGGAAGGTTTGAAGAGGCGCTCGCCGAATTTGACGAGTGCTTAAGAACAGCCACTGGCGGGGCAGCTCCCGCATCAGCCTACGAGCCAGGACGTGGAATGACAGCCTTTGCCCATCTCAGTCTGGCTGGCACCAGCACAGGCCTCAGCCCTAGCGGCGCAGCCAGTGGTTACGACGAGCGCAATCTCATTGGAAGCATTCACACCAGTCGCGGCTTGGTCCTTCTTAGCATGGTCGGCCACACGAAAGAAGCGGTCATGGCCCTTCATGAGGCTGTACGCGTTCTCGGTGGTGATGCTGGTGGCGGTGGCGTCGCCAGGACATTGCTAAGTCGGGCGCTGGAGTTCTGGGCCTTGGAAGAGGATCAGCCACTTGACGACCTCGAAGCCACAATACAGCAAGGAGCGTCTGCGCCTGTGTCAAGAATCGGAACAAGGTCAAAGCGAAGAGGTAAGGAGGCCGTTGCGCCTACCACGTCGACAGAGCAGATGAGTAACGAACGGAAGATCGAACAACGAATGGACGGGCATGCGAATGAGATTCTGGATGCTGCACTGAGATCTGTACGATGACAACCAATGGTCGTCTTTGGATCTCTCGATTGTGGCCGATAACAATATGGGGAAGTCAAGCCTGTAACTTCTGCCGATTCGCAAACAGCTCTCCCGAACAGAAATTAGTCAATTGACTCTTAACGACAAGGACCAAGGGAATTTGAGGACATTGTTGCATTGGGCCTTTGTATTCGAAAGGTCAGGTCCCCTGTGACGAGTCCAGGTCTCCATGGGTCACCACTTGCTTCTATTCGCCTGTACAGAATTTGGGTTCGGCTTGGACGACACTATGGGTAGCTGGCAATTGAGGTCCAGGATGAAGAAAAACGGGATAGGGCAAAAGGGCCAGGCGACCTCTACACTTAGTGTGAATACCTTTAATATCCCAAAGGGTCAATCGACGTGGGAAAAGTATGACTCTCTAGCCAGAACAACGTCGGATAGACGCCGTGATCATGATTAGCAACCCAGTGGGTAGACGCCTTGATGAACATAGTGGACAATCATGAATAGTCTGTCTGTCTGTCGGTCATTGGCCTTAGGTCTAAAGAACTGTTTTGGTTTTTGCTCTGCTAAAGAGCCAGAAAGAAGAAAGAAAGAAAAAAAGAAACTGTACAGGCCTAGAAAGAGGTGATAATCCAGTACAAGTAGAAACAAGGGCCTTCACCCGTCTGCCAAACAATCGATATCTTTGCACACAATCCCCCCAAAGTCATTTCCTTTCCTGTCCTCGCCTTTCGTTTCAGACGGCGAGGGTTTGTGGATATATCAAGGCGTATCAGGGGAGTTGTGCAGATGTTGATGATGGTGGTGGTGGTGATATAGAAAAGACAGATACCGCCTCGCCTGAAACGCCCCGCTGATGGATGAAATATCGTCTGTCCTGACCACATCGTTTGATTCCCTGTATGCCCTTGGACTGTCGTGCCTCGAGGCATCATGCTTCGAGTTGCCATCCTCCCGAGCCGGACTCCGAAGAACAGAGAAACCACCGGCCCAGCGAAAAGTCGTCAATGCGTCGAATTGACACCATGCCCGTCCAGAAACGCCGCATGAACCCGAATAAACCAATTCCTGAAATCACCGTTGGAGTGAACCGCCGTAACTTCCTTTCCCCTGCCCTTCGTGTCCCAGATATTGTATTTTACAGCCAAGGCATCCATAACCCATCCATCCCACTGAGTCGAGTAGGATCAGTCGCCTTGCTGACCAGATCCACCACGTTCTGACATGCAGGTAGGACGCCGGTGACACCAGTGGGAATCGCGTTTGCTGTGGATGCCGCGGCCGCCGCACCGCTTGCACTTCCCTCTGCGCCAGAGACGGCGCCGTTGGTATTGGCAGCTTGTGTCCCTGAAGAAACCGAAGATGCACCGACACTGCCTTGCGTCTTCGCCAATGTGAGCGCACGCCGCGTGATGAACTCGACATTCATAGCCACTAGCTCTCTTAAATGTGACCCTTCCATTTTCTGATCTCCTCCTTGGCCACCACTTCCACTAGATTGAGGCCGCCCAGCAGCCCAGTTGTACATCTCATCTCTTACAAAGATAGCGAGTTGCTGCTCCATTTCGTATCCGTTGTCACCCTCAGCGAGGCAGCGTGCGATCGCCATTAGACTTGCTGTGAAGATCCCTTCAACACCCAGGGGGCCCATGAGTGTCTGCAGGTTTGGAGTCAAGCGGAAGGGCACTTGTTCAGGATTGTAGAACAATGCTCGACTCGAATTGAGGTTAGGCAATAGGTCAGATGCCCAAATATCTCCAGTGGCTCTCGAGATGGAGAATTTCATTGGATACCGCGCAGACATATGCATTACATATGTCATGAACGTGGTGGCCGCAAATTGATAACTGAACTGCCGCCGGAAGAGCCAGAAATCTTCGAAAGATGGATAGGTCGTTTGGAAGTACTTCAAAGCGATGGTATTTGGAACCCACCTCTCCTGGATCGTGGTGAAGATCTCAGTCTTCATGATGGCAACCTGCTCAGGTGTTCTGGGACTTGTCTTTTGCTGCTCGGCGATGGTGCGTGATTTCTCGAGGACAAAGAGGATCGGTTCATCCCGCGACATGGTGTTGGGAGGAAGTTTGCGGACGTGGTCTTCATACACGGATTGAAGTGTTACATATGAGGCGTCGTCTTGCACCAGGCGAATGTGCGGTGCTATCGGCACAAAGATGGGTAAATGAAAGTACAGATTTCGGCGCCGGGATTCTTTGCGCTTTGACAATGTCTGGTTGAAGATCCGGAACAGTTGTACGATGCGCTCCTCGCGACGGACTTTGCCACCTGTTGGATGTTGAACGGCAAAGGGATGCAGAGAGCCGTCATGGCCACGAATTGTTAGACGGCGGTGGCAGATGCTGTTGCCCCTGACAAGCTCAACTGTCGGCATAAAGCGCTCGATACGAACGAAATCGGTGTTCTTGTCTTTGTGCTGTTGATACTGTCCAGGGACTTCCACCGAGTCGTCAAACTTGAGGAATTTGAATTCGCTCAGATGATGACTGTAGGACTCCAGGGGAGCCCACTGCTGTCTATGATCGAGCTTCTGTTCAAACTTGTCTCGCCACTTCCTTAATTTGTGGATGTATTCATACATGGTCGGTTTGGTTTGGACAAAGTCCGCCTCAAATGATTTGCGGATGTGTGCTGGGAGAACAGATTGTACGAATCGCGCAACATTGGCTTCCGTCTGAGGCGGCAATTTGGCCCCTTCGGCATAAGTCATGGGTGCCCGGCTGATGTAGTGCAGTCCGTCATTCAACAGCGCAACGATAAGTCGATGGGCATCCTCGTCTGGCGGACACTTGAAATGCTTCGACAACTGATCTGTCATTGTCTCCATTGAAAGCGCAAGGAGGGGGAACGCAGTCTTCAGGCCAGCCATGATCTCGTCGGTGTAGTCCCATGGCCTCTTGGGCTCTTCAGGTTTCTTACCGGCTTCGGTACCATTCGCCTCGCCGTTGTCGGCATCTGGCTCCTGCTTAGGTTTGGGAGACGATGACCCATTGGTCTGGGCTTCACCATTGGCCGTGCCTGGTCGTGACCCGGATTCCTTCTTCTCTTCCTGATTCTTCTGCTGCTTGGCTTTCTGGGCCTCGTATTGTTTTTTCTTGCCCAAGAAATCTTCTCTTGTCGCCCGCAGGTGATAGAACAGTGCCTGGGGGAAACCTTTGGCGATCTTCACCAACACCGATTTGGCAAGGCGTGCCTCCTTGTGCTCGAGACTGCCGAGTAGTTGAGGCACGAACGTAGTCCAGTACCAGACGGGCGTCTCGCCTTTGAAGTCTTCGAATGCCTTAGCAATGTGTCCCTCTTCGTCATCCAGACTAAGTAACCACAATACTCGGCTAAGCATCTTCCTTGATTTGGCGCTCTTATAAAGCCCAGCCGCTTCGAGGTAGCAGCTGACAGCATTACTGGCAGCCTCGATATTGGATGGATTCTCCTTGAACTTGCGATCGGAATACTGGCCCCATTCTGCCCATGCTTTCGGAAGTCGAAGGTCATAGTAGAGAGCTACACCAAACGCTTCGTTCGCTTCTTCTGCGTGCTGAAGCTTGGCCAGGAACATGCCTTTCAGCGTATAGAACTCGGCCTTTTGCTGTGCGCCGAAGTAGTTGAGATTGGTATTGTTAATCACATCAAGCCCGTTATTCAGCTCGGCTTTATTCTGGTAATGGCATTTGGCTTGTTCTCTCAGTTTCAAAAAGGCTTCTTGAATTTCGATGTTGGGCAACGTGTAGATCTTGCCCAGCTGATTGATACACACTTCAGGCATCTGGTGTTTTCGGGCGACGTGGGCAAACTTGTTTATTATCCAAGCTGTCTCATGATAACCTCGGAAGGCATATGAATTGTTGCCAACGTTGTTACCGCCTTGAGGGAGAAGAGGTAAGTACGTCGAGTTCACAAGCTGGAAAACATGCTGGCGCCAGGTGACCAGGTCTTGCCACGCATTGATGTCGTCCCAGATGTTCGGTAGCCGGTCTCTCCAAGCTTGCAGGAGGAGTTTGACTTCTTGTGATTTGCTGTCAAGATTACGCTCGTTGGTGCCCATGAGACTATCGCAAATAACGCTAGCATCGTGAAGCTCGACCAACTGCTGGAAGTTCTGCAAAATGGGGATGTGAGCATTTGTGATACGCTTGGGAAGTTGATACCATTTGCGGATAGAGAGCTGAATGGCTTCGTCACAAACATGCTGGAACTCCAAACGCGACATCTGCTTAGAACTGTATCGTAGAAGTGCCATGAATGCTTGAAAGAAGGTTCGCCTAGGTGTTGGAGCGTCGGAGACGGACTTGATCATCGCATCCAGCTGGTTTCGGTTTTCTTCGCCGGACCAAGCTTCGTAATTCCTCCAGGCTGATTCGAGTAGAAGATCATTGAAGTTCTCGTGCTTTGCGAATTCGCCCAAAATGTCCCATTGTTGGAGTTTCTGAGCGCAAATCATCCAGTGATCTTCCCAAAGGTAGTATTCTCCTTGGGAGAACGGCACAACGCCAGTACGTGCTTTAACTTGGGCTGACTCCCAGAGTTGTTGCGCTTTATCCCAGATACCGTGCTGCTCGTATGAGAGGGCAGCATTGGTTTCCATAAACTTGCACCGTCTTCTCCACGCTCCATAGAATAGGTCGTCTTCTTGGAGGCCAGCATAGACTTCCACGAGGGCATCCAGGTTGCTTTCGCGAACCGCCGGCGTATCGATCAATGGGTCAACGGTAGATTCTTCTAGGGAGATAAGCGCAGTGTACCACGCGTCATATGTTCGGCTCAGAAATTTCATGACATGAGGAGGCACCTTGAACCTTGGTTTGGCCCTCACCGCTCCCTCCAGTAATGCTTGAACGACATTGGGACGAAGGTTAAGTTGTCTCTGATGATATTCTCGAGTCAGCAGGGTCACCATGCCTTTCTCGAGGTCAAGACGCTCGTCCCTGTTCAGGGCAGACCAGCAAAGTGGGAACAGTTTGACCCAGACATCGTAGGCAACATTGTCATCGATATGC